CCAGCCAGCCACCCGGAAAGCTGGCCTGACCACCCGGAAAGCTGGCTTTCCAGGCCTCCCTGCCAGCTTGCCAGCCAGAAAGCTGGATGTCCAGCCGGAAAGCTGGCCTGCCCAGCCGGAAAGCTGGCCTTCCGGGCCTCCCTGCCAGCTTGCCAGCCGGAAAGCCAGCCTTCCAGGCCTCCCTGCCAGCTGTCCAGCCAGAAAGCTGGATGTCCGGGCCTCCTGTGTGCTCAGAGGGCGGAAAGCTGGCCTTCTGCACTGCTGCGAAGGCTCTCCACGGACAGCCCTGCGACTCTCTCCATGAATCATTGACTGTCAGTGAATGACTGCCATGCATTGGCTCCAACGGTCCAACACAGTCACACACACACACGCAGAACCCATCAATGAATGAGGACAAGATGCTGGCGAGTTGGTGGACTGCCCGTCTCTGTTTCTCTCTCTGTCTCTCTCTCTCTCTTTGGTCCGTCGGTCTGTGTGTGTGAGAGAGAATGGACATGTGAGTGAGTGAGTGGGTGGATGGGTGGGTGGATGGATGGATGGCAGCAAGTGATTGAGTGAGCGAGTGGGTGAGATGTGAGTGTGGTTGAGTGTTGGTGCCGTCCATCCATCCATCCATCCATTCGTTCATTCATTGATGGGTTCTGCGTGTGTGTGTGTGACTGTGTTGGACCGTTGGAGCCAATGCATGGCAGTCATTCACTGACAGTCAATGATTCATGGAGAGAGTCGCAGGGCTGTCCGTGGAGAGCCTTCGCAGCAGTGCAGAAGGTCAGCTTTCCGCCCTCTGAGCACACAGGAGGCCCGGACATCCAGCTTTCTGGCTGGCAAGCTGGCAGGGAGGCCTGGAAAGCCAGCTTTCCGGGTGGTCAGGCCAGCTTTCCGGCTGGACATCCAGCTTTCTGGCTGGCAAGCTGGCAGGGAGGCCTGGAAAGCCAGCTTTCCGGGTGGTCAGGCCAGCTTTCCGGGTGGCTGGCTGGCTTTCCGCGGGCTTAGCTAGCCTTCTGTGGGCTTAGCTAGCTTTCCCCACCTCCTCTCAGCTTTCCGGCCGGAACTCCAGCTTTTCGCCGCACCTTGTCGGGTAGTGCAGGATTCTGCTGCGTTTGCCACGCAAGTCTGTGTGTGAGTGCTCCTTCGTCTGCTCTGTCCTGACGCAAGCGGCTATCGATCTGCGCACCGTCAAACACGAGAACCAGCCACCGAAAGTTGACGGTGCCGTCAACCCAATTGTGGTAATGCATGATACATTTCGCTACGCTGTGTTCACACGCAAGCGCTTATGGCTTTTCGTTACGTCAAAAAGAAGAACCAGCCACTGAAAGGTTACACAGCCATCGACCCAAGGGGAACACAATACATCGTTCACGGCACACTGCTCTACATTCTGTTCGTACGCAAGCGGCCGTCGCTCTTCGCCTTCCAAACGAGACCATAGCCGCTGAAAACTTGCCCACCGCCAACTCAACCGCAATCTCCTTGCACACGCTCTAAGGTCTGGTTGATGGAATATAACTGCAAGAGACGAGTTTGCTTCCCATTGCATTGCAATTGCGCCCTGTTGTTTGCGCAAAATGTGGCGAACACTGGTGTCGGTTACACGGAATTCGGCTTTTTCTGCTGATTTCTCCCGGGACTCTCATTCATTCTCGATGCAAAAGCATGTATGTCTGATGCATCTCGTCATGCTGTGTCTGCACGCCAGCGGCCATCGCCCTGCGCCGTCCTGAGAAAGACAACCAGCCAGCGAAAGTTGGCACAGCTGTGGACCTAAATCAGCACGATTGTGTCAATGCATGATACATCTCGCTATGCTGTGTTCAGACTGCAAGCGGCCATCGCTCTTCGCCCCGTCAAAAGGAGAACACACACACCGGGGCACCGAAAGTTTACACAGCCGCCAACCCTTAATCAACAGAACGTATCAAATCATGATGCACCTCTCCCAGCTCTGTCGGCACTTCGAGTCGGCTCCGCCGTCACAGGACTAGCCACCCAAAGTATGCACAGTTGTCTTGGCTCAAGCCACACGCAAACCAATCCATGGTCACTGGTCTACGTGTGTCAGACTTCGGACGTGTGTCTGTGTGTTTGTGCTTGTCTGTCTTTGTGCTTGTCGATTGAATCGTGAGGGTCTTTTCATCAAAAAAGCGTCTACATAGCACCGAGAAAACGCTATCTTTATAGCGAATGAATCCCAAACGGCCCCTTAACATGGGCGTGGGTGGACGGCCGGAATTGGCTGCTGCTCGTCGGCGGTCTCACGTGGAGGAGTACGAGAGCCCGGGGGTACACTACATGCCGGCGTCCACCTCGAGGGGCTCAGTTGCCGATCTTTCATGTAGATCTCGTCAAGACGGTACTGCCTTCTGTTGGCCATTGGCTATTTCCGGATCACTTCAACTTGAGCCTTCCCTTCACATGATCCAAGTCGCTGTCAGAGTAAATAAGCTCCTACGGATCCTTGGCAGCTGCACCGCCAACAATGGCGTGGGGTTCTCTGGGGCATCTGTGAGCAGTAACAGCGCTTTACCTGGACGGCTCAACAGCACGGAGGGACGGCAGAAAACCAGAAAAGCACGACACACACCAGCCGACCTTACTAATCCGCCAAGACTACGCAAATTTGAAGGGTTTCTGTCCGGTGAGATATTTCATTCATCCGACTTTAGATGAAAAAGGACTAGTGCTGTCGTGTGCATCCCCCGGCCCACCTACCGCCGGGGTTTCGAATACTTGTACTGTTGTTTTGGATTAGCGCGAGCGAGTTTGCACGTCTCTTTCTCTCGCCATCCAGTTTTTTCTGCCCCGTTTTCCTTTGGTTCATATGTAGCCCCGGTTTTTACTGATTCAAGGAGACAAATGGGCTGTTATGACTCATTTTTCATATAAAAAAGATCAATGGTGCGTGCGGGTGGAGTGGTCCGCTCAGGCCAGTGTTGTGTCCCTGGCCGAGAAAAATGACTGGCAGGCCAGGCTGTTATTCCCACGGGAATGGATTATTCCCATGGGAATAATCAGGTCGTCATTTCCGCCCATTCCGCTTCATCTGGTCGGAACAAAATCATCGCTCTCGAATTCCTTCTTGTCTTCAACAAACAAGCATCCAAGCCTCCTGCCCTGCCCCAGAGGTACTTCAACGCTCGCCGTCAAGACCGCAAGGCCGCTCCCTCTGGAGACATCACCCCTCGAGCTCTCTACTTCACCTCTGACGACATCCCTGCCGGCCCAGAGGAGGCCGAAGCCACAGGCGAGGGCGCCACGATGAGCTAGACACCCCAGGGACGGCTCTCCTTCCCTCCACCCGTCAGATGGGCTTGCCCTTCTGACGGGGAGTCTGCCCATGTGTCTGCCGTCGCTGCCGAAGTCTGCCAGGGATGCTGCCATCGAGCCAACGGCTCAATCACGGAGGGTATCACCAGAAGGGGTGTATGACGAGTATGTCGATGATGTGATGCACATACACATGCCGGAGGCACTGCATGGATGGATCCATCGCTACCTGAGACGCCATGGCGAGGTGGTGTCATACTGCTTTGTGTGCGCCCGGCTGAGAGGCGAGCGACGAGCGAAGAAAGTACATGATGGAGGGGCATACAGCGGCTAATGAGAGAGCATGAGAGAGTGTGAGAGCGGTCGGCAACTGGATCTATAAGGACGGACGGCAACGAGGGGTGGGCTTGGCTTACATACACGTGGCGAGGGGCATCAATGCATGGATGGTGAAGTCATTTCCGGAAAGAATCTGTGTAGGCGGTGGAGCTCTTGCAGAGTGCCCACCACCTATACAACGGACGGTGACGGATTTTGCATGCTCACATCACAAAGAAAAAGGAAGCATGGCAAATATCGCCATTGACGAATGAAGAGGTCATGGAGCCATCGGAAGGCAGAGATGGGTGCGTGGCCATGGAGCTGTCCAAGCTGAGCATGCATATATGGCATGCAAACCCACATGTGACCCAGATCTGACGAAACTTTATCAAAAGACTTTGTGTGTCTCCGATGTTTCCTCACCCAGACGATCCCAAATGCAAGCAAATGCAGTCCTTAGCAGAGATGCAGCAGCGAGGATGATAAAGGAGAATAGATGGACGGGCCCTCCGCTGTTCGACATGAGCCACCCGCAGGGGCAGGCACCGAAGCATTGGCACGCCCTCCTCTCCCTGATCTCCGCTCACGTTGCTGTGGGCTGACACAGAACCACTGCCGTCGCAATGAACCGATAGATACCTTGGGAGACTCGGGGTACTCCTGCATTACGATGGGAGTCAATGATTGTTCCGTGCATGGGGATTTCCCCTGACGCTTCGGTGCTGAGAGTTGCACATTCTGCAATCGCAGGCGGAGGCAAGTACAGCGTAGCTGGACATGTCTCGTCCCTGTGAGGCTCTGTCTAAGCAATGGTGATGATCAGGGGGAGGCAAAAGGGGCTGCATGCATGCGCGCGCCGTAAATAGGCCTCCCCTTCCATGTGCCTCTTAGAAGTACCGAGCTCGAGGGCTACATCATGTGAAAGGCGATGGGTCAAAAGTTTTCTGCTCCTCGAATTCCACTTGCCACCGGCGTCGTCTGAACGTCCCCCCACCGTCGAACCAAGACGTCTCACCACCGAAAGCAAACTCCAGAGAGCGTGTATCCCACTCTTTCACAACCACGCAGGTGCCAGGTCTGTGTACCACGAAGTGCAATGCAGCTCAAAATTGTACATGTGCATGATAGCCCTCATTAAATGAGTGACGCATGTGTGCTAGAATGAGGAAGAAAGGGAGGAGGGCTGTCGTGTGCATCCCCCGGCCTAACTGCCGCCGGGGTTTCGAATGGCCTGCCTGGCTATTTCCTTCTCTCTCCCTCTTCTGTCTTCCTGTCTTCCTTCCCTATGGGTCCCGTGTGTATATGGTGATGTATTCATGTGATTGGCTGATTGTTGCTTTGGTGGCTCAGAGGGCGCTCATTTTTCTACTTCCCCCTTCTGGCTTCTGTACACTTGCCATGGCTCTTGCTGGGCGACAGCGCCCGTTCTTGTGTATGTAGCCGGAATCGGTGTTTGTCAACGTTCTACGAGGCAGCCAGTGCTCTCTGTTGCCATCTGTCTGTCCGTCTGTCCGCCGGTGCCAGTGCAGGGAGGGGTAGACAGGCCGTGTGCATGCTTTGCATGTACATGCTGCTAATTTAGTGCGTGAGACGATAGAATCCCTCCGGGGTTACAGAC